AGTGGGCGCTAGGGCAAGAGGGTGAGGGGGGCAAAAGGGGCAGGGGCGGCCTGAGCCCTGGTTCTCTGAGAGCAGCTGGGCAGTGCCGGGGTACCAGCTCGGGAGCCGGAAGAGGCACCTCCCCGCTGTGCTGTCTCCCCGCGGGAGCTGCGCCTGTGCGTCCTCACCTGACCACTGGGGCGCTCTTTGGGAGCTGGAGGGCCTCGGGGATAGAGGGGCGTCTATCAGCCCCAGGGGTAGAGGCCAGGCCCGAGGGACCCACAATGGCTGGGTGGCAGCCACGATGCCCCTGCCCCCGGGAGCCTGGGCCCGGGACCGGACTGGGGCTGGTGTGAGGGAGGGACTCACCATTGCACAGGATGGCCCGGCTCAGGCCCAGGGCGTCCGCGGTCCCCGAGCTCATGTTCTCCACCAGCCGATGCTTCACCTTCTTCAACACTGGGACAGGCGAGAGGAGGCTCAGGAGGAGGCGTTTGCAGCTGGGCCCAGGCCACCCCTGCCCCCTCGTCACGACTCACTCAGGGGGACCACACCAGGCGGAAGGGGCTGAAGTGCGGAGGGGGGTGGGGTGACTATGAAGTGGGGAGGCCCTGCCCTATTCACTCTCCACTTGAGAAGCTGTGGGCGCCTGGAAGGAGATTACTATGCAAAGTGCTCAGCCCCAGGCCTGGCACTCCCCGGTGCCACAGGCCACTAGACCCAGAGTGGCCTCTGCTCCTCTCCCACATCTGCCCTGAGGGTCCCGGGAGCAGAGGCGCCAGCAGTGACAGCTGCCCTGGGCCCGGACGATACTGACTCGTGGTGGAACATGGCTGCACTTGTCCTTGGAAGGGGACCAGGTGGGAACAGAGGAAGGACCCAGGACAGGCTCAGTCTGCCCTTGGCCTTCATCCTTAAAACCCAGGAGGCAACTCTGGCCCTAGGGTACAGGAGGGGGGTGCTGTCTGGGCCTGGAGATCTGGGGGTGCATTCACCCAGGGGCGCAGGGCCTCAAGGGGCCTCAGGTCTGTCTGTAATGAGGTGGCTGGCCCAGAGGACCTCCACTCTGCCCGGATCTTTGAGTCTTGACGTTTCCATAGACCCGGCCCCACAGCAGGGGCACCGTGACCTGGACCTGCTGGCGGAGGAGCGGCCTGTGGCCCAGTTCAGACCGTGGGCTCCCCTGGGAGAAGCTGGGTGGGAGGAGGCCGAGGGGCAGTGGGGGGTGCAGGCCAGGGCTGGGGTGCCCTCCCTGCTGGGAGGCTGAGCACCTGGGCTGTGGTAAGCTGAGGGCGTGGCTTACAAAGGCCCCAGGGGAGGTGGCCTCCCAGCCCTGGGGGTCAGCTTGGTCAGAAAAGCTATTGAGCACGACCACGCGGCTACCCGCGCCCTGTCGCGAGGAGGCAGACCAGGGGCTGGGGGCCGGCTCACCGATGTCCAGGGACATGCCCTGCTTGGGGTCCGCCTGCAGCTTGTTGTAGTGGATGGTCACCTCCCCCTGCAAAAGCAAGGCAGGCCGAGTTGAGAAGGAGTCCCCTGGGCCCCAAGCCCCTTCCCCAGGGAGGCCTGTTTCCCGGGACTCTGTGGTCATGAGAACCCTGAACGCAGCCCTGCCAGGCCCAGGGGGGTCAGCAGGGATGGGGCAGACACGGTCCCTGCTGTCAGAGCCCACGGCCTGGCAGTCTCCGACGCCCTGTGCTGCAGCCAGATCAGGTGCCCTGCCCTCCCGCACGCCACACTCCAAACCCGCGCTGCAGCACGTCCCCTGCACAGAGCGTCTTCCTCTGCGCTCTACATCGTCCCACCTCCTGCCCCTCCGTCCTCGACCAGCACGTCTGAGCACTTCTCTGTGCCCGGTGCTGGAGTGGCAGCCCGGGGCCGATGCCAACAAGGGGGTTGCACAGCCCCAGTGACTGGAAGGTGCCAACGTCTCCCAAGAAGCCGTCCCTGACCACGTGAGGCCGCGTCACTCTCATCCTTCGACGGTGGCTGAATCACTCTCAAGACCCTTCGACGGGGGCTGAATCACTCAAATACAGGACGGGATTTCAAAACCGAGTCCTGGATGGAAACCAAACTGACCGCTGTGGGCAGAGCCGGGTGGATGCGCCAGACCCCTCAGGGTGCAGCACCTGTGCTGGGGGCTAGGGAGGGAGCCCCACGCGGGAGGCAGCCCTGGGTGCTGGGCCAGCCTAGGGACCACAGGCAAATCTCCTCCTGGGCTGGGCACCCACTCGAGAGCTGGGCGGTCCTGGCGTTGATTCGGGGCTGTACACGCACACAAGCCGCACGGGAAGCGTGAGGGGCTGGTGCGAGGCAGGACAGGAGGGTCCTGGTGAGGAGAGGACCCGAGGGTGCACACACCCCGCCCTGCACCAGAATGAGGCACCGCCCACCACTCGCCATGATGATCTCCTCGGCCCCACAGGTGATGCCAGGCCCAGGAACCAGACCAGGGCGAGCGCGTGTCACTCCCTCTGTACAGCGGAGCCTGAGCCCCATCCCCCCTGTGCCCTGGCCGAAGGGCTGGATGGGAGGAAGAACAGGACTGGACTCTTGCCCTGAAGGTGGGAGGAATGAGAGGTGAGGCAGAACAGGACAAAGGGAGAAGGCACTGGCTAAGGCCAGGAAGAAGGACTGGAAGGGATGCTGGTGCCAGGTCCTGGACACGCAGGGGAGGAAAGGTCTGGATGGGGCCGAGGGACTAGAACTCAGCCAAGCCCCATTTACAGCTGGGACCCTTCACTCTGACTTCCAAACCATCCCCCGGCTTTGCGACTCCTTCGGGGCACTGGTTTCCCAGTTACCAGCAGCAAGTCTCTGGGAAGCGGCAAAAGGGCTGCATGCCTGCTTCTGAGGGGCAGGGAGGCCGCTGCCATTCAGGGGGGGCCTTGGCCGGAGCAGCTGGCGGG